GACGTGCAGGAGAAGGAACGGGGTGGTTTTTAGTCAGTAAGAGTCTGACACTCCCTCCCGCCTCACCCAGGCGGGAGCAGTAATTCGATGATTTTCCCCCTTAAAAAGAACCCTATCAAATATCAGACATTTTAATACAGTAACCAAATAAAAAACATACTTGTTATTGCTATTATGCCATACACACGAAAGAAATATCCATAAAAATCAAATTAAATAAGATTAAAACATTGATATTTGATACAGTAATTTAATTACAGTTTTTATTGTATTATAAAAACCATTTACAAGTATGGCGTTCTCCTTGACTTGTCCGCTTGTTTTTGTGAATGAACCGCCCAATGAAAGGGAAATTATCGACATACGGTATACAGTGTCGCAGGCGCATTGCGCAACTGGCTTGCACAAACTGTCGACCTCTTTACGAATTTTGCTCGTATTATGAACATGTACATTTTGTAGGGACCCACAGAACTAACGTTGTAATATAATGTTGGTCTCTGCGGATAATTTTGTGTTGAGTGCTTTACTGTGTTCGCGGTATTTGCATTTACCTACAATTATGGCTGAAGAAATTCAGTTTGTTTGTTGCACGTGTTCATCAAATCTGACCAAACCCACATAGGGTGGCAGCCTTGGATGTTGATACCAGTTTTGTTTAATGATAGCCTAGTAGCCACTCACTCCTTTTTCGTTTTTGAGGTCGCTCGGTCATGTTTTCGTTTTGTCCAATGTGGGCTTTACATGTTATGTAATAAAGATTAATATGATTTGCATTGTTAACCAGATGGCTACACAACACTGTAAGCTGACAAAATTATAAATATTGAAGAGTCTTCATTTCTCTTTGTTTATGGGTGTGAATCACGTTGTTTGCAAAAAAAATCTTGCTAGATGACTTGTCTGGTGGCAGATAGCGATTAGATTCGTCATCTCTAGCTTTGTGTTTTTCAGATTCTGCGTTGTTCGGGCTATAAATAAATGTTCTCCGTATTTCGTAATTGAAAGAAGTTAATGTAACCTCCATATTGGATATTTTCTTTCTTGTAATAATTACTATATTTAGATCATAACATCTAGTGTAGATAGCCTCTTTTAGTAAAGTTCATGTTAAAGTAATTACCTGGCGGTCCTTCTCGTCACTAATTAGTTTCTATGCTACGGCACGGCATGAAGTGAGCGAGTTTAAAAATATTCTCGGTAAAATGTCATGATACCTAGAAAAAGTTATATTTCTCTTCGCTGGTGTCTTTTTACCTTATCGAGTGTTTTCGAACTATTGAAAGTTAAGAAATTTTTTCGAACTTATAGTCTATCAATTTACTATCTTGCTTAAAGTAAACTTCACTTAGCAGAATGAGGAAGTTGTCGTTTAAGTTTAGAGAATTTATTTCTTTGAAAATGTTATTATCTGACCCGCTAACCATGTAACAACCTACAACAGTTAAAATAAGTGAGGAAATGAACATGGTTGAACATACCGCCTTTAGTTAGGCCAGACATAAAGTTTAACAACTTGTCCCGCGTTAGTGACGTAGCTATAAAACGATACAGTACAGCTACAGACTCAGACGTAGTAATTGCAGCGCTTTAAGCTTTATTTACGAGTCCTCGTATAGTGTCGCCAGATGTACATCGCTTTGTAAGAGTACTGCAGGAAATATTTCAGAATATAAAGACGCAACTCGCAATAATGATGCAAATGTTTCCAACGTAGATGCCGATGTAGCTTCTAAATCAGTTGATTTAAATGCATTGCACGGTAAAGACTAGGAATATAAGATTAATGTCGTGACACTAAGCGTAGATATTCTAGTGAACGAATGTAATGGATTGCCTTTTTAAGACTATCCATCCGCTAGAAATAAAGTACCGTAGTTTCACAGCCTGTTTCTGAACAGTTGTGAACGCAGCCGGCTCGCGGAACACTATCGATGCGACCCTCAATACTCTGAACGAGGCCCTCTTTCCAGCCACTTAGCCAGTCCCACATTGCGCTACTTTGCGGTACTTACACACTCTAATACGGACCTATTTGTTCCGACGTTTTACGGGAGCAGTTGTCCTTGTGTTTATGAAGCCATTCGCAGGATGTGAACGATTTCAGATCCCACTAAGTCAGTGGTTCCTAACCTGGGGGTAATTACCCCCGCAGGGGTAAAACGGAGATTCTAGGGGGGTAACACGGGATGCAACGAAATAGTATTAAAATAGCAATAAACAAAATACATGACATGAGATGCGCGTTGAGTGAAACCAAACCTAATATTGTCAAACTTGCGAATGCAAAGCAATTTCAACCTTCACATTAGTTAACTCCAAGATATTACTTTACTTTACTAGTTACCTAAACGTGCAATTTCTTAGAATTTTGTGAGATAATAAACATATTTTCGTTCGAATTTGTGTCGTTTTAATTATTTTAAATTAGCTAGGGGTAAACTCAATTCCCATACTTGTTCACAGGGGTAGTGACATTGAAAAGGTTAGGAACCGCTGCACTAAGTGTTTGTTTAACGAACAATTTTGTAATAGTTCATCCGCCCATGCAGTTTGATGACCTGACGTGGGTGGCGCGATTTAACGATATTGGAAAATAGTAGCTTTATTTATTTCTATTATGTAACTCTTTATTAACTTGTGTTCCATTTTTAAAAGCGCTTTTTAACTAGGTTGTTCGAAAATGCAATAATTTATTGAGATAACGAATAGACTATTGAAATGTCCGGAAAATTCACGGCACAGTTCCTTTAAAGGTTTGTGGAAAGCAAACATTGTGGGAGCGCTTTATTGTAGCGAAACTCTATTAAGAAGGCGACCTTTGCGACACCGAGCTTTTGGAAGCATGACTGCTCAGGGTTAGCGACTACAATATCTTTACAAATTGCAGTTATTATTTATTGCTCGAACCGGTTTGGATCATGTTTTTGAATCTCTGCAATTAACAGTGAAAGTTTTAACTGTCACATAGTGATTGGTTAATAAAAATATAAATAATTTGAGTCTGCAAATTTGTATGCCATTTTCAAGTTAAAACCGCTAAAGACCTGCAAGTAAGCTGGAATTGACCCAAGAGGGTCGCGATTGTAATTTTTGATAAGCTTTGGCAGTGAAAAATCGATCTAGATTAGGCAGCCCTATCTTTCCTCAATTCGGGTGTAGAAGACATAATGTCAAGCATCACGACCTAAAGTCCATAAAAGGGCGATGGAAACAATTTATGATTGAAAAAATAAAGATGCTTTTTATTCGATTTTGTTCGTGGAAAAGCAATTTGTTTATCGTGTTTATAGCTGGAATAAGTCGAGGATTCCTCGTGATTAGTTGTGAATTGCTTTTTTGTAACTCTGTGTTTACTTACATCTTTTAGCTAGTCCCAGGCAAACAGGTTTAAAACTCATCATTAAGAGACGGCTAAGACTACTGGAATGGAAACGTAATTACTTCTGAAATCGAGTTTAGATATTCGATCTGAAAGATTCTATTTTTAGCGGTTTATGGCTTTGATTCTGAAAGTTATTTATTCAGTTTTAAGTGATCTTGTTTGCTGAAGCGTAGGCGAGGAACTTGATTTAGGTCAAAAAAAATCCTCCAAGCCATTAAAACGAGGCTTCGGACTGTTCTGTCAACTTAATCCTGAATATCCTTCATTTTTAATGAAAGAACCTGACTAACGACCCCAGTAATGTACCCTACGTATGCTATAAATATTAGCGAACAAGTTTAATAATTTCGGCAGTAATCCGCGAACGACCGCAGCACAGGTAATGAACTCCCGAACACACAGTATTGTGTGTTATACGACCGTAGAGACGTTTGGCACCGCGGCCGCACGTTTTAATTAGCGCTGTTCCTATAATGCCCTGCTTATTAAACTGCCATTATTTAAACTTGAACTCATTAAAAGTTTGTGTACGTACTTGCTCATATTTCCCTCTGGTACGGAAATGTTCATTGCTGTTCATACCTTGACCAATAAAATTAACCGAATTTTTATATTACACCTCATTATTATTAGGAAGTTTGATTATTATTGATACTCTCAGGAAGATTCAGGGGAATCTTTCGAAGAGGGTTTCGAAAGGATGCGGGCCCTAATACTTCGGGTTCATCACAAGTATCTTGAGATTTTTTTTTATTTGTAGATCACTCCTCTTACTTAAATAAGTCCACTCTTTATTAATGAAAATTCGTTTTCCATTCTGAAGTTCTCTTTGTTCTAGTTATCGCATGTTTGTCTATAAATCTTAATGCGATTACCATTTCCAACAATATTTTGGATTTGCTGTTATGCTTCTACATACCCACCTTCTTGTTTCCTTACATCAAAATTGGGTTTATATGTCTGTCTGTCTATTCCTCAAGAGAGTATATTACGTAATTTGTCTCTTTCTACCTAATGTGGTGTATGTTTACTTACCAAACATACAAATTGTGTGTTGTTCTGCCGCAGAACTTTATCACAGAGCTTTTTAATTAGACCACTGCTCATGTAATTCTGTTGTATGAGGTTAATAAACAACGCTTAAAATCTTCTTTTCGTTTTGAGGCTACTTAGTTATGCGGTTCTAAAATAAACATTATTCTCGAAAGAAATAGGTTTGATAATTCTTTGGGAAAAAGACCGGCAGAGGTTTTATGTGTATTAAGTTAACGAAAATCAATCACCACATTCACAACCCCTATGGGGCTTTAGTCACCTTCCAAACGAACAAATGGCTTCCCTTACATTAACCGACACAAGGACAGAGATAATATATAGAGAAGTTAACTAATCGTCACAATTTATTTTACGTACCTCGTTATTTAGTCTATTGGAAACAATGCTAAGTTGTGCTGTTCACGAGACACAAAATGGGATTCAACGCAACTAAAAATACACTGGACAAGACATATACATTGACGATTTGGTTCACTGGAGAATCGAAGATTTAATTTTTGCCTCTATTTCAAAAAGCGTTTTAGATGAACTCGGGTAAGCTTTATTTTATTGTTATGATTGTAATGTTTCAGACTAGTGGTGTCTCAGAATCAGCGGGCGCTGCACATAGTGTTCCCTCATCACTTCCTCGACTCGCCAGAGTGGTTTGGCGTGTCTACTGATGAGTTTTTTCAGGTAAGTCAGAAATACTTTAGATATATTTAAAGATGTGTTTTGATGAAGACACACATTAGCATGGCTCGTATTATTCCTCAAAGAGTTAACAATAAGTGTATGCGGCATCTTACTTATTCAAAAAATATGATGTTATGTTATACTGAAATCTCGTCTCAAACGACCAATTTGTTAGCGACTCCATAACAAAACAATGGAAATGTAGGACCACGTTTTACGAGTATGTTTCTCATGTTTTTTGTTAAATCGTCTCGGATATTTGAGTATGGGCAGTTAACGGTGCTAATTAATGTGTAAACTGATCTCGTACTGCTAACAGACCGTGCACAACCATACCACCGTACCGTGAGGGGACTAATCAAAGTGTAAATCGAGTAACCTCCTTTACGATGCAAGGGCTTGTTAGAGGCCTTTTAAGCGAATTTACCAAAGAAAATAAATATGACCCAATAAACAGGTCATGTGCTTTGACGTTTTTTTTATTACCCATGTTTATTAGGAAATTAGGAATGACTAAAGTAGTGTTTTAAGTGGTATATTTCCACTAAGTTCGTAGGATTTCGTAGGTTTTCACTAGTATTGCAGACTACGGTCTATCATATCCTTAAATAAATAACCTTAAATATCCTTAGTTTAAGGTTTTCATGAGCCAAAGACGTAACACGTAACACTTTATCCGATCATTGAATCTTAACCAAGGACCTGTGTTAATATTGAACGGACCACAAAAAGAATTCTAGCATTTTTTTTCTGAAACTAGTTTGGGATTAGGGTTGGTTCCGACACAGATTTTATCTAGTTTGAGATTTATGTCAGATTTTTACTCGGAACAATAACTAGGCATGGAAGCCAGGCTAAAATAGTAATTTACAAACGTATATCTGATGCTCTCGCTCTTTACACAATTTTGCGTAGGCGAGAATGAGACCGCAAACTAAACATAGTTCTATAATAATTTGCAGGTTGTCACAACTTTCAGTGGACTCATTACAATCTAATGTCATTGGACTTATTCAGCATACTACCAAATTCAAAATCACGTTTTGACGTTCTATGTTTCACAGTTTCACTCAAGTTTGACACCTTCCTCACTTTGCCGGATTATAGTACTGAAGTGTCACCGTGGTTGTATTTACGGCTCCTGATTATAAAAAATGCTTTTTATGGAATGAGCGCAAAAGAAAGGAAGAAAGGAAGTGTATGGTCGTTCTTTATTATGTGTTTTCCTTAATAAAAATACGTCTTGTGTGATTGACGGCTGCAATTCACATTTAGGAAGAAAAGAAAACAGTGGTAAAAAAATACACTTTCATTCGTAAGTTTTTGATATGTTTTAAAATAAATTATATTGGAAATACCGGTAAACTATAAATAAATGTTACTTATTTATTGTTCGTACTTTTCAATTGTAAGCCTAAACAGTATTATTCCATCTTTTCCTAAAAAATCAAAATCAATTTTCTAAGTCAGTTTTTAAGCTAGTGATGTGGTCATGTTACATATCGATATTTTAGTTAGGCTTTGAAGTTCTTTATAGTATAGACGTCGTTTAGAACCCGAATCACATGATACCTTTGATGATTTGACAGACCACGACTACATTTTGTACCCATCATCTATTACGGAATATTCTAAAAATGTCATAGAATACATAATCGGCTTTATTGGAAAGAAATTAAAAAATCTTTACAATGCGAAAAATGCATAGAAAGTCTTGAAAACATGGAGAGTATTCCTTAAAGATCTTTGATATCTTTAAATATAGAGGTAGAAGAGGCCTATTTAAACCAACATATGGCTTAACCAAGATCTGTCAGCTGACCGAAAAAATTATAAGAGAATATCAAGTGCATATTGATTCAAAATCTCTCGGTAAACCAAAATAATTATTAGATTGATTAATAAAGATTCAGCAAATGTGTTGCCGTCAGAAAATTTTCGAGAAAAAAAAGATTATTCATTAGAACAATCTTTCTATGTTGATCACAGAAATCTTATAAAGTCCATAGCACAAAAATATTTTAAACTTAGGATACATTATATTTAAAAGTCAATGATAAACACATAATATTGCACCACTACCACGGTTTGTAAATATGCTTTGTTTGTGAGCAATTAAATTATCTTTTTAATATTGTGTTTTATTTTTGAACCCATGACATCCAGATTAAGAACCTAATGTACGTTAGACCACAGCAGCAAAACTTTCAGGTACCATAATTTATCGATAAAATATATTAATTTATTCCCATCACTAGCATATTTACAAGTAGTGACAACCTGCATAATAACGAAACGAAACAATACACATATCTCTTTCTTATACACTATCAATACCTTAAGTAAAAAAAAGATGAATATATGGAGTGTAGTTGTTATTTTAGCCTGGCTTCCATGCTTTAGTTATTGTTCCGAGGATTTTTACGTCGACCGACTGTCGAGTTACTATTTTAGACTTTACAAGTTAGTCTTAACAGATATACGTTGTATATTACTAGCCTGTTTTATTCCTAACAAAAAAATATAGACACTTTTGAATTGGTTCTCTCCCATACAGCAGATTAATATTCAACGCTATTTAGGTTTTTGAACGCGAAGCTCACCCAAAAATAAATCCGAATTTTTCTCATCCTTTAGTGTACAACGCTACTAAAAAAAGCAAAGCTATTTACATTTCTTGCATTTTTAAATTAGTAAAGTGCTTTAAAAGTGCTAATCTAGACTGAAATAGGTTTTAAGGCTTCCTGTGCTAAATAGTAAAGAGTAAAGCGTTGCCAAAAGTTTGCCTTATCTTTTAGACTATGTGATGTGCTGGTATTATCCAGACCTGTCTGCCTGTTGTCCATAAAAGGTGTTTTACATACATACTTGTATAGTAGTTTAGTTCTTGTTCTAAAGTATTACAGTTGATGATCGGTTAACCCAATAATCTGATTGACTTCCAGTAGTCTTTATATACCTTTTCGGCTTTTTCTCTGGTCGTATGTAGATGTACATCTACTTTTTCGCCAGTAACGGTCCTCTTATTCATCTTTAGTATGTATATTATCACCAATGAGGTCAGTTTGTGTTCTGGCTATATTTGGATCTTGAATAAGAAAGCCCTAGTTCATTCTATGACGGCATTCAGTCTAAATATGGCTCAGGATAATTAAATAGGTCGCGAAGTCGAGCGCAAAATGTCTAAGCTAGCTAGGTTAAAAGTGTATCTAACTATATTACTTCTAAGTTTATGCAGATAGCAGGCAGATTAAGCACTATTTTCTATATTAATATGCTTTAAAATTGAGAGCGGTAAACTAATCATGTGTACTTACTACTGATATCTGACCACATTTGGCAAGACCAGTGTAAAATCACTTAGTGGCGTGCCATGTGTAGAATGCACACAAATTAACAATCACACCGTTACTATAAACTTTAAAGACTTAAAGCAGAATAACATTTTCAACCGTCAGGCGTGATAGATAAATATTATCCGTAATATTTACCAAGCTAAAAGCTGCACAGTTAAGCAAAAACTCGACAATACTTTTTACATTAACTCCCTTATCTGGAGGAAATAACATACTTTACGTTCTACGGAAGCGGCCTATTTCCATCCAATACGTGTTTATGAAATGTACTATATCTAGGTATATTATATCATATGAAAATGTATGCTTTGGTGTTGTAATCACGCCTAAGCTTGGGTGGGTGTCTGTTGCGACCTTTCTGCTCATAGTAGGAGAGGTTACAGAAGGTTTATTTGACTGTAAAGTAACGGAATGGTATTATAAGACGTACACATATTTTACTAAACTTAAATGCACTTTTCCAGTTCTATGCAACCCAAGGTTTTTCTTAGCTTAAAAAAGGTATGATGTTGTGTAAGTAGTACATGTAAATATTGTACTTGTCCTAAAGTGATTGGAAAAGCCTGTTGCTTATAAAATATTTCGACTCTAATAAAATTCCCAATAACACAGCTATCAAATATTCAACAAAGCGAACCTTCTCAAAATGTTACTTTTATTGGCTTCCTAAGCATACGTTTATGCGTTATTGTACGATCCAGTCATGATTTCACTCTCATTCAGCCTGCCATTACCATAATATACGTGGGTTCTGTTCTATTGGGCGCGCAAAGTAAAAGTGACGTTTCGTAAATTATACACATTTCGTATTATTATGTATCAGGAAGTTCATCATTAATTAACCTTTTCTCTTCTTCATTTTAATAGAAATGTAACCACTGTGTAATGGTAGAAATTATGTCCCAAGAAATACCATATTTGCGTAAACTTCGAACCTCAAATGTGTATTAAAACTTGATTTATAGGCTTAGAGTGATGTTTGCGAGCCTGGAGGGTTATATAAAGTTTACAAACAACAATATTTAGCCTCATATATGTCTAGCAATGCCTCAGGCATCATGGGTTACCCCTGAACTTTTAGTTACGTGTTTGATAAATAGACGTCGAATATCTGAACGTCTTTATCTATTAGAAAATGGGTTGTTGTCTCAATAAATGCCTGGAGACATTTTTCTACAGGGTAGAAGATAAAAGCTTGGCAATTTAACACGAAGCGCTGATTACCTAACGACACAATATCACTTTGGTAAATCACACCAATTTCTGCTGAAATACGTTTTTCGACGGCGTATCTTCGCTTGTAATGGGAGTAAAAATTCAATTCTGGCCCGTTTTGTTCGTAACATAGCCTAGTTTAAACGATCTCTACGTTTTACCCGTTCAAGTGCTGTTTCGAGCGACATTACCGCTTTTCGGATCCACTTACCGTCTGACACGCCACCCTGTATATGCGCTATACGATTTAGCTTGTATTTTTGTTTTGTTTTATCTGCATGATAGGTGTAGGTATGTGTGTAAATGACATTGGAGTACGTGTCCAGAATTTTTTTTTACGTAACACAACCGGAATAAAAAATCAAGCTAGAACAATTCTTTAAACTTTTTACTGTGATAAAGGTATTGGTTACGTAATTACGACTTCTTTTCTCCAAAAGGATAAGCGATAGACTAAACCTTAAATAAGTAATTGAAAATTATATGATGGAGTTACGATCATAAATAAAGAAATAATTAACTCGTCCAACTACGAGTAGCACCTTGTTTTCGACTGCAGCGCCAATAAAGACCATAAAAAAATTACAATTCTTCATCATCACTGTTACAGGTGTCGATAATGGCGATGGAGGAGTCTCGCGTGCTGGTCTGGCATCGTGACAAGCTGAAGCTCTCCATCATGTCGGACGCCTTCCTGCAAGCAGTCTTCGATCACATACTCGGTCGAGACGTTGTGCATAAACTCATGCAGGTAATGTACAACATACTTTTAATTAAATTTCATCGCCAATTCAATGAAATGTAACAAACGTTTTTAGTATTAGGTATGTTTTCAATACAATATATTTAGACTGGAGATACGTTGGTATTAAGCCAGTGTATGGTTAATAGGTATTTTATTTCAGGTTCCGCTTAAACCCAGTCATATTTTCATCACACAGTGTGTGTTTTTGAAATATGCTTTTAATTTACTTACTTTTTTAATTTCTTAATTTTATTGTTATGTTCAACTCGATAATTTAAAAAATGGCGCAATAGCGGCTTTTATGCCTTCAGTAATTTCCGACGTAATTGGTTGAACAAAATATTCAAATTAAGTTCTCAGTTGTAAAATATGTCCTATTTTACATTTTTATCCTAGGATCTAAAGTCTGACTCAACCGATAAGTATTTTTGAATAATACTTGTTACTTATTTGCATTGTAAATCGAGTTTTCAGATGAGAAGGCTTATCCGATCCTTTTATCCCTTTTAACCAACCTTTTTAATGTATGATTGGAAATTAATCTTGCAAAACCAAAGTGCCTGTTTAACATTTAACGTGGACCTGTCAATTTGAACAAAAATAAAGTAACGCCAGTAAAACAATTTACTGGTAAAACCATCGTAAAATCTGGAGTTTATGGCTCGTACTCATCGTAAATAATAGTGCTAGTGTATTATTACAAATTCACAGCAGACCACTACGTAGAAATTATTTATTCATAGTACTGGGTTGTATTTCGTGAAAATTCTGTTGACCCACATTTGGCCCTAGAGCGGCTGCATTATGTTCTAAACAAGCGATCGGGTATCGGTTCGTGTTATTTTGATTTCTCGTGGGATTTCGCTTTTGTGTTCTGGGCGAAATTTCATCGAGCCTTCTGAACATTTTTATTCGAAAATCTACTGAACTTGTTTAGGCGCTAAACTGTTTGCAGGTTTTTCTGTTGTACGTGCCTAGATTACATAAATGAGGTTCTCGGTTGGAAGGATGCTGTAAGCACATCTGGCTCGAGTTACGATCCTAATAGAATCAATGTGATTTAGGCTTTTCGTTCCCTTCTTTCAACCTAATTTGAATTTCTAGGTATCGTGAATTTCCTGGCAAATACTGCGAAATTATAGATTTATACAAGGTTTATTTAAAAGCTACACTGTTTAAATAAACATGACGTTGTATGAAATAAAACGCCGTTTAATTTCATAAGAGGTATGCTGAAGAGCACAGATATAATTTTACACACAGTTTTGACTATTAAACAAACTATTATATTGTAGGTGGAAACAGTTGTGGCGTTCCACTGTTTCATACTATAAAATTAAACCTTTTATATGATAATTCAAACACTACAAACTTCGAAAAATCTCACCATCTTACCACAAATCTTCAGGTGAGCGAAACGATGGCAGTTTCGAACGGTCACCTGCCGAACAGCTACGAGGAAGGCGAGGACAAGCCCATGCTAGTCGTGAAGAAGGCGGGTGATGGGCCTGGCATCACCGCCTTGCTGAACCGGCAGTTACAAGGTATGGACGATTGATGTATTCGTGTTCACTTGAAGACGGTGGTTTGAGCATTTGATTTGGTAAAGGAAGCTAGATAGGTTAATAGTCTGTCTTGATATAAGTATTTTTAATCTGTGACTTCTAACTCAAACATGAAACAGAAAAACAGAAGTCTTACATCGTAAAATATCGGATTCTAGCTTCAATTTTATGCGTGAGAGTGATTTTATATGAAGTGAGAAAAGGTCTTCAAATGCAAGGTTAATTAATGCTTCTGCGATAAAACAAATGCTCAAACGTTTCATTCATAATGCATGATAATATTATAGCTAGTGTAGGACCATCCGAGGTAGTAAATTCATTTTAAATTATATTATGGAGTCGTTACACACTATCGTTTATGAGACGAAAAAAAAGCAAATTGAAAAAAAAATGGTAATCAAATATTATTATTATAAAATTGGGGTTCAAATAAAATATTTATTAGAATTAATAATTATGCTCATGTCAAAATCAAAACCTATTTAAAATTAGGTAATTTAATTTGAAACCTTTAAATAGTTTTAACAAAAATATCAAAACATCATCAGATCACCTTGATGGTCAGGTGATATTGTTCCAAAGTCACGAGATACCCATAATGACAAGATCATTAAAAGATAAACAAAACAAATTATAATATTTCTTTACAAATGATAATTATTACTATTAACACGATAGTGTGTAATGATTTGTCTTTTTAAAAAACTCCTATCTATTGGTCGTTTGTGTTTTATTTACTTATTTATTGTTTACATACTGTGGTATGTCCGCCATTGTAAATGACAAAGGAGTCGCCATCTTTATAATTTTGACAGTTGCTTAGTTTTGGCGCCAATCTATCTTTAACATTGCAACAGCTGACATGCTTTGGTATTTATTTTATTTGATGTTAGCTAATTAAATAGGCGTACGTGGAGTCCCTTTTATAGTTAATCGTACTGCTAGTTTAATATTCTATAGAGATCATAAATCACGAACCATATTCTTTTTTAATTTGCACATAACTTCTTTAGTAAATAAATATGAATGAATACGCGATGCATTTTCGGCGTGTTAAAATCAACTTATATTTTATTGTATTTGAGAATAAATCGTGTATTTAAAAATCTATATCGTAAGGGTACGGCAGTGCACTTTCCAAGTCGAGCTTAAAGCGTTCTTGGTAAATGCCTTATTCTTTTGAACTTTTTAATTATTAACTTTTTTGTGCATATTGATGTTATCATAATGAGAATGTATCGCGTGTAGGCTGTAAAGAGGACAATGCGTAACGCGTCCGTGTGGTGTTGTGGTTGTGCCGTGTCGATGACGTGCGGGTGGTGGCTGTGCTGTGGCGTACTGCGTACTGTGGCGTACCGTGGCGTACCGTGGCGTACTGTGCGGCGTACTGTGCGGCGCGTTGTGTCGGTGTGTCGGTGTGTCGGGCGACAGACGAGCACGCGCCGCTGCTGGCGCCGGCCGCGCCCTACTGAGCCTCCGATACACTCCCATCGCACCACTGTCCGCTACCTAACTGCCAGACCTGCTTGTAACCCCACCTCCCCTTTGATTTTATGCTTCATACTTATTGCAAGACTTTTTTAATATGAGAAAGAGAACAAAAAAAGTACGGTTCTTGCTATAAATGTAATTCATAATCAAAATAAAACTCGGCGTACTTCCCTTACGCTCTTAAAATTACGGATTTTTTAATCAGTAGTATTTAAAAGTATCATTAGTCATGACGCATAAAATAAATCCTTTCCTTATTTCCGATCCCATATAATCACCATATTCATGCAAAACAGTTTTGTAGTTATTGATGAAAGATAGACTAAGCATCAAATTAAAACCCACCTATACTACCAATAGTTAAAATAAAAAAAAAATGTAATTGCAAAAGCCTAGTATTCAGATTTAAAAAGTAATTTTCATCAGTATCTTATCACTGTGATCATATACTTTACCATTACCCATTATATTAATTTACATATATGTATTTATTACATAATGATAATCATTAAAACTTCTTACATATCGCATACACATATCGATATAATTATGTATTACATTTATTAAATCATGTATATCTTATATTCTACATATGTATACGGAACTGCGTGGTGATGGGCGTCATTTAATTTCATATACTACCTACTTTAAGGCTTTATATATAGGTTTAATATGTAAAATAAAATCACTTTTGAACTACCATGTCGGAGTAACTAAATTGGGCATATATTTTTATTCCTTTGTTTATTTGTTTCAGGCGATTATGAGCCGTAATAGAATATTAAATAAAGTATATTTTAATATCATATTTATAAATAAGATAATTAATATGTTTAAGTCATTTCTTAGACCTATATTCAGACCTATCTTTTCAGTCCCTGTATATTTCTTTTACTTGGCTCTATTTTCTGGCATGGAATGCTTACCTACATATTGAAAATTTGCCCACACATCCTGCCTTTTATGTAATAATCATAAAAATAATATTTTATTATGTATTTTGATGACTTGTGATAACAATCATGACATTAATTATTGATATCGCTTTAACAGTAAGCTTTTCATAGCATAGCATTAAAAAAGTACAACGTTTGACGTGTTTCGATGCATAATCAACCTTATTTTTTAAGCTATAAGGTTTAATTTGTATTGTCGAATAGTTTCTTACTCGATTTAGTGCCTAAAGTGCCTAATAATATATGAGTAATATGTATAAGCAATATTCGCATGTGTAACCTCTTTTGATTTGAGTATTAAGTGTGTGACTAGTCTAGTAATCGATTCATATTTACATATCTTTCATATAATTGAGTATGGTATTGTAATGTTGGTGCATGTGATTCAATTTTGAATGGCCGGGATGAGAAAACACAGACGTAACTTTGTATATGAAATTTTGGCTCCACAAAGGCGTTAAACCTTAGAGATCTCTTTTAATTCTCTAGTGGTTTGATATTGATAGACATTTATTTCCTTTACTTTTTAAATTTCCATCGGTACGTGATATTGTAACTAATACTAAACTAGTGTAAAGCATTTAGTAATACCAGTACCAATTAACTTTTTCCTACTCTTTTCTAACATATAGCAAAAACGACGTCTCAAAAGCCTCGTACCACAGACCAAAAATTGTATCAAAAAATGAAAGAATGTGTTTTCAAATCCCTGAGCTGACTGTATGCTTTAATAATAGTTGTTACCTTTACCTGCTAAGTATGTTTATGTAAGTTATATGTAGTTTGTATGTATAAGCTATAAATGCTATAACACTCCCGTAGTCCCATCCTATGTCCGAACTCTTAAAGCATGATTGGAAGATCGACAATTGAAGGTAAAGTTTTGTTTTATGTTATTTGTCTCACCTCTCATTCAACATCACTATGTGTTTTGGGTTTTATGTGGCTAGTAGAAAAAAAATAACTAAATAGCAAACAAATGTAGTCAAAGAAACTTGACGTTTTGCGCTCTCTGAGAACCTAACGGGTAAGTCGCGGAGAACCTAACGGGTAACCGGGGCTCCGGCTCGACGTGCAGGAGAAGGAACGGGGTTTTTAGTCAGTAAGAGTCTGACACTCCCTCCCGCCTCACCCAGGCGGGAGCAGTCATTCGATGATTTTCCCCCCTTAAAAAAAAACCCATTACAGTCTAATTATGTTAGACTATTCGAGTATTTAATCATTCGAAACATTAATCAAAAATACACGCAAATTACCTGCTAAAGGGTGGCGTGTGTATTGCTAAGTTTTAAATTTATTAAATTTAGAATATTGTATTTTTTTTTTCTGCTGGCTATATAAAACCTTTTTATGTCCCTAAAAATAATCATCAATATAATAATTATGTTGCCACAATCCTAACACATATTTGCAATACATTTGACCTTTGTTATTTTAAATAATGCCTTTATGGATTTAGCTTCTATTGTATTTTTAAGCCCTCTTGGTTAAGAGCTTGGACACGCTTACATGATTAACTCTTTGAAGTTTTGTTTTTGGCTTAAAACTACAATATTTTGTCACATTTGCTAGTTTACATCCACACAACACACATTGCTTGAAGTTGCGCTTTTTGTTTGTTATACATAACTGCCAATTTGTTATCTACATGTGATGCAGTCTGAAATGTACTTTAACTACTAGCTATAGAGTTTATTTCATTTAGATATGACTGTAACTGTGCTGAAATAATTCACACAGTATTAACGTGCTTATACAAAAGTACACATATAAACGATTTGAAAGTAAATTTCAGACTAAACGTTTTATATTTTTGAACTGGCAACACAGTCAGTGTTTATGTTTTGTGTACCGTCTCTAACAGTCGTCGACACGTGCACAACACGGTATTACGTGGTGTTCTAGCTTGTGTGAATGTTGGCTACATTTGTGAGGTGAACCTACTTGAATATTACCAATATTATGCACAAAATACTAATGTCAAGATCCAAAAACGTACCTTTGACATGCGTATTTTGATCATGCAACACTTAAATTTCGTTTACACATTACGATTTGCAGTGTGATCTATTTTTTGGGGGTTTGGTGTCAGATTATTTTCATAATAATAGGTCGTAAGTGTAAACGAGAATGTGAGTATCAGAATTTTAACGCTTGATTCTTTTAATTCGACAGCGACAGACCCAAATGCGTGGCGCCTGGGCCGGATAGAGGAAGCCGACCACGAGACGCCCGTGTGAGGCCAGGCCTTGCACGTAGCGGTGCGTCCGCGCAACAAACGCCCGCGCCGCTAGTGCAAAATACACCTTAACTAGTACGGCATAAGGTTCACCAGACTGAGCCGGGCTCGTCGGACCTGGCTACCTCAATAACGAACTCTATGTCGAGGACTGTAGGATACAAAGTCGAACGTTCATATCGTATATTATTATGTAGATCTTATTACAGGAAGTAAGTTGTGTGAAGTGATGTGGCTTGAGCTGGAAGATTGGAGTTGCGTGTGTCGATGTTTTGGTGAGTTCCATCGATTCAATAGTCGATTATATTACTACTTTCACTTACGAATTATATATTAATAATTCGATTATAGTGATAAGATAAATATAATACAATCTAAATATTCAGTTAAAGATTTCTTGAAGTCATAGTGTACTTGACAAATCGACTAAATTATTTTTAATCGACTAATTAGAATAGCTGTAGCGAGACAACATGAGTTCATCAAATCTTACCCTCATATAATAATAATTAATGCATAATAATTTAATCGATAAATCGACTAATTGACTGTTGAATCGATAGAATGACAGCCTATTTAACTATTTACACGTCTGAGAGCCATCGTTACTTTGAACATTTATATTGATGTATAACTACAAAGTACGATGTTCCCCGACATAGTAAACAATGATTTTTAATAAGGAATAGCTTATATGATCTGAAACGAAATAGCACATTGAAAAAAGACTAGAATCATTATTTTGTGTATACTATTTATGTAGATAGACATATTGTAACTAAATATTGATTCGATAATAATATGGCGTCGTATTGTCCCCAATAAAAGTATAAAACGAGAGGTTATATTTCAATAAATGTTTTGTGTAAATACATTATAGAAAGAATATGTACGTGTATAAAGAATTGAGGAAATTGTGTGTACAAAATATGTATTCTATTCGATTCTTAGTGGCCATGATGTGGAAGAAATACTTGCCTTCTAAATCTCACAGTTTTATTGATTTCGTTGTAGCTTAAAAATATGTAATTATTTTCATATGTCTGTATTTATCTATATTTCTTATTTTATCCGACATCGGTACTGCCGTAAAATAGCTCATTTAATCTGTAAGTCATTGTAATAATATTTTTTTCTGACAATATGTTTGAGAAGCTGGGAATTAAGTTTCTCTATAAGTGGACTGTGTTACTTTGTTTTTCTGTATAGTTATTTTTATGTATTATCTCTGTCTTTGTCAGTTGATAGTAAGTGCAGGTCGCTGTTATCAGGTAGCTTTGTAAACAAATGCACATTGATGATGTTTTTGATATTTCGCTTTTGTATTGTGTCTATTAATAAATATGTACTGGTTATTTACCGCTATTTTTATGAGGAAAATATTTACTTTTTACTTGTATAAAACTGTGATTTTTTCAAGGGAATGCTACAGATATGATTCCTGTAATAATATCATCCATCCCTGTCAAACTCCACAAGATTTCTTTTATTGAAACGCCACATATTGATGTACCTGATGAACACTTGTTGTAAAGAAACTTGTCGAGTGGACAATAAGTGTGAAGCCGCTGGGAACACTGCAATTGCGTTTTAAATACTTTGGGAAATAAGTTATCAAATAATAGTTATATTACGTAGCACTTGCAGCTATTTCAGCGGCTTTACGTTACTTTCATAATAAAGTGAACTATGTCTACTAAACTATAAGTCACAAATTAAAACGAGCAGGCCTTAAAAAGCAATAGCATGTTACCATAGAGTTGCGAAACTGTCCAAATGCTCAAGTTATTTTCAATCTTATTTATTACCATAATAAGATAGAGAATAGTGTACAACCATGTTTAGCGTTGGACAGTTCCGTTGTAAAGAATATCTAATCACGAATTAGACAAAGACCATATTATAAAACTGAGTTAATATATATCGAGCTGAATAATTGTACAAATTGTTGGAGGTACCTATCAATGCACACTACTGTAAGACGATAAGTTGTCTGAACACATTACTAGTTGTTTATTTTAAAGTACAATGGTTAAATGTTTGCTTGAGTCAGAAATGATGGTTAATGTGAGTTCTTATATTGTTTTAGTCGAACTGTTTACTCAGGTGCGAACTAAATTAAATAGTTATAACAAAATTACTTGATACCTATTTTTGTAGTTAGCACATATTTCAGCACAACATCGAACAATGGATTTTCCCTTTTTTCGTAGTCAAGTAGCGAGGCGGTCGACGGACGCAATGCTGTCGAAACTAATCAGACTTTCACTACGGTTCCGATAGCGTCAGTCGACTGTGCAATTTGTTTTATTTTTAGTTACGTAATAATTAAACTTTAACTCCAATGACCAAGTTATTTTGACATTATATTGATTTTTTATTTAATTTCTTTTTGTGACGTCTTCCTATAAGAATATGATGTATAATATAAAAACTGCAAATGATTTTGTATTGCTTGTGATCGATCGCCTACAAACAGATAATAAAGGTGGCTATTACGTTATTAGTTAGCAGCTGTAAAAGTGATGTGTGTTTTACATTCCGAAATTTTCATTTTTATAATTGGAGTTGTGGGTAAAAGTATGTCTAGGAGCCAGAAGCACTGCCAATGCAATATGATTGCTTGATTTGCGGTCACTGCGTTATAATTTGTAATAAGGCTGGTTTAAGTCGCGCTGACAGCCGAGATATTTGAACTTCCAGGAACCGTGCGCACAGACAGCTACGCGTCATTGAAAAACGCTTCCTAGAAGTTCATATATCTCAGTCATTAGCGCAGACGGTGCGCGTGCCGTCAGCGCCAGACTAAAACCAGCCTAAGGATCTCATTTTGTTTTGTATTACGATGTTGATTTTTCTTGATAAGTGAGGAGCACAGTTTTATGTTGTTTACATGTGGATGTTGATCCATGTTCTGGTTGTCACAAGACAAGTGAGATTGTACAAGTCTTGTGTCTGTGTGAGCACCCAGTGTGTAGTATGCCTTAACAAATTGCCATTTGTGATGATTGTAAGTTATGAATGTGTTGTATGATTAATTGTATTGAAATCATCTTAGTACATGTTGAGACAAATAGAGATAAAAGAAATAAAGTAACAAATTGTGTAAAAAATTGTTTTATTTTTTGTGTATAATTTTTGGTTACTTTAATTAAAAGAACAGTAAAAAGAAAGATAAGTAGATAGATAATAACAAAATGCGACACCTGGACTGATCCTAAATTTATTAATAAATATTAAATAAATATTTTCACTATCACACGGCTATGAATCGTCAAACGTCATCCTGCCGACTCCATGTTGTTTGATGTACCTTCTGTACTGCTTGTATTTATTGTTTTCTGCTAGAGCTTTCTTGGCTTCTTCATCTTTTATTTCTTTCCAAACTTTGAAGTTTTCTTTTATCCAAAGCTCTTCATCCAAGAACTCTTGTTTTTCTGAGTCCTCTATAGCATTGAACTGATGCTGTCCAAGCTTCATGTACTTTCTGATTAAGTATAGTTTTTCCTCTTCACCATATGGACGCTTCATTAATGTGAAATTCCAGAACCACCTCAGGTACCAGTAAATGTAGTAGGCAACAGTGTAGGGTAAAATGATGAGTTGGACCCACAGGATGTCTACTATCTCTGGCTTTGCATAAGACCCCTTGATATCCATTTTCTCCTCAATCACTTTCCTAATAAGTCTATCCTGCTCTACTTTCTGTTCAGCTTTTGATTTCTTTGGACCTTTACTTTTAGATTGACCTTCTTTCATTTCAGTTTTGGCTAATTCTAGAGCCTTATTTCTATACTTTGGCACTGTCATGAAATACTTAATAGCAGTATCGTACTTGGACCATGCACTATAGTATTGAATGATCGATATAATGGTAATAGTTACGGCGATCACGATTCTGACGTCAACTTTCGGCGCCATACGGCGACGGTAATACCTGTAGTAGTGAGCGTAGTACTCCTGCGGGTTATCCAACATGTAATCATAGTCAGATCTTTCTTCATCATCGCGCAAGATCTCGTACGCAGTTGCTATTTCTTTAAACTTTTCTTCGGCCTCCTTTTTAGTTTCGGGTGTCCTGTGTAAATCAGGATGAAATTTTTTGGCCAGTTGTCTGTAGCTTTTAGCAATCTCATTCTTAGTAGCTTCTCTTGTGACACCAAGTACTTCGTAACAGTTCTCCTTTCCACAATAAATACCTTCAAGCAGATGATCCGCTGATGAGACCACGGCGAACTGCCATGTTACACAGACAAAGAAGAAGTAATTGTATTTAAGATTCATTTTTATATTAACACATACTCTATGTTATAAATGCAATTAATTGTGACTAGCAACTATATATTATTAAATTATAATTTAGAGATTTTAAAATATGCTACGATACCAACACGACTGATTGTCAAAATGACAATAACTACTAAACGCAAACTGTCAACGTCACAGGCAACGTAGCTTATTTATATAGAAAAATATTTTTTTTCTTTATGGCAACTGAAAGAAGACAAGTTGTAAAATAATAATTTAATCATAATATCATAATATTAATTAATGCACACAATATAAATGTGAATGTGAAAATTAATTTGATTTTTACCTGCAGAATTACATTAAGAACTCGGTCAACCGAGTTGGTGGAAAAGTGGAAAATAACAGAACGTGACTGTGACATTATCGCACTATGGAGTCTGACAACTGACAACAGTGACAGCTAGATAGTACAATCTGTCAAAAACTGTCACACGTGTTTGCAATTTGCATTTTTTCTGCAATATATTTGTAATATTATAGAATAATTGAATAAAATGATAGAAAGTGCGCTAAATAATTTTTCAGATAAACTTTTTTTATACTTGACGGGAAAGTCAAAAGACCCACGAAGCCTTCTAGTGAAGAAACATAATGAGAATTTTCATACCCATGGCGATTATAGTTTTCCTAATTCGCTGAAATCTTGGCATGAATATGTGGATTGTGATCAAGAAGCTGATCACGAAACTCTGACATTGTTACAAGCAATTGGTAAAGAGTGTAAAGATATCATAAATGAATCTAAAAAGTGGGATTTGGCTGTGCAGAAAGCGAAGGAGGAGAAAGGGCGTATTTATTTGTTTTTAGACCGACCAAAAGCTATTCGTGCGGGCTTGGCGGAAGGGTTGCGGAATAATGCAGAGTTATCGGAGAAGTTAAATGAAAGTGCATCAGAAGTTCAGTTAGATACTTCTTGCGATAAGGAATCCGACCTAACCTCCTTGCGTGCGAAATACGTTTGTAACGTCGTAAAGAAGTTGTGTACACTGAGCAATGTAAATTCACCTGTAATAGTCACTTCAAAGTCTTCTACCACATGTGAGGGATGCCACAGAGTGCTATGTGGGACAGTACTAAATTCCAAAACTGGTGCTAAAGAAGTTACCATAAGAGCTGAAGATTTTATTAGGTAAATATCTCTTTTTTAACTGTGTTACAACATTAAAATTGTTTTGAGTTTCAAATTAACATGATTTTTTAATAAAGTAATTTAATTATAAAACAGCATTTCCTCCTTTTCGTTATTCCATCATTCAATCTTAAAGTACTTTGTTAAACACCAATAATGACATTATTTTTTTAAATTCCAGGTTAAGACAAGATGAAATGACCCTCATAGCACAACACAAGTATGGAGTGAGAGTATCCACAGATACAAAATGGAAGGAGTTCCTATCACACTTGGGGGAGTCAGCAGCTTCTTTTGAATTACTACAAACAAAACCTAGTGGTGCAGTCAAGATCAATTTTGATTGTTCTGCTGGATCTAGTAAAGGTGAATATTCTTTGATAAAAAAGTACCTTAGGAATTACTAACTCATTCTTTCTCTATTTGTATTATAACTTTTGTGAGACATACTAAATTAATAGTTATGTTATCGGCTTACTCACATAATTATTTCACCATGAACTCGACTAGTTTCAAGCCATGCTAGATGCTCAAATTATTATTCCATTCTCTCTCATTATACATACTTACTGCTATTACATTGTAATAATATCTAATAAGAACTTTATTCCAAGACATTATTATAAATACTCACCACCAATGTCAATTAAATTTTGATATAATACATGTAGTCAGTCTAGCTCATTCAACTTGTACTGCATTTCAATCGAATCCGAAGTGACCTTGCATTCACATTTTTACAATCAATGATACATGAACGAATAAAAAATACATTACATTAATTTTGGTTTCAGGTGCATCATTTATATTGTACAATTGTGCCCGTCTAGAGACTATAATAAGGACATATAATGACAAAGTTTCTGATGGAACATATCCAGAGTTACCTCCGTTCGATGAAGTTGATTTTTCATTGCTGGTCCAAGAGGTAATGGTCTGGCTTCAGTTTTTTAGAATAGACTTAAGTTCCACTAGTATTATGCTATTATATCATAGTAGGTAGCATCAGGTTGATGATTTCAAATATGAATTATGTATACTGATTGACAGACAGGCATGGTATGACATATTGTGGCATTCAAGTACATATCTTGTGTATAGATATATCATGTTTTCTTATAAGAATGTCAGACAATAAGAAAGGTTAAGAATAGACCTATAAGAAACTTTTTATTAAGTACTTGCAATGAAAATATGTCCTATAAATACATTTTGATTACTTCTTTATTGAGAAACAAGCAATTTAGTTAATAAATACTAAGATACAAATTTTGTAAACTGTATTGAGAGAATTGCAGGCTTTTTTATTTTATTTATTTCCTTAACCCGTTGAAATCCACCCCCTAAATTTGGTCATACAAAAGTAGTCTCTAAACATTACAAATAAGGTCTATAATGTAATGTAATATTAGTGGAAAGCGGTCACCGGTGACCGCTTGGTAATTTATGGGTTAATAAACTATTGCATTCCAATATTAGATAATCCACTGAAATTCTTCCTATTCACTACTATTGCAATTTAACAAACTAAAATATTTTTATTTGTAACAGGATGAATGGCACCTAATATTCAACTACATACTAGGATTACCATCACTACTAAACAATAGTGTGGAGTTCAATAACCGAGTCTGTGAATTCCGACCACATCAGATATGCAGCTACCTCTGCTCTATGGTCAGAATATTCAGCCAGTACTATAGGAAAACCAGAATTCTAGTGGTAAGTAAAGAACTAGACATGAGATCAAGAACAGAATAAATGTGTAAATTATTCAGTCATTTGCTGCATAACAATGTAATTTTATTGTCAAATATTGTTAGACATGTTTGCAGTGTAAAAACTGTTCAAATACACTATGTAAGAACACAAATACCTTTTGTTCTGTTTTTGCGCTCACAGAATTAATTGTTGTGTGCAATAGCAATTTGTCAAATGCCATTCTTAATTATATTGGGTAATTCATTGTACGAATTTTGTATTGGATAAGGAATTTTCGTTCATTGGCATTTTAATTCTATTAATCTACAATGATAAAGAAAAACGAAGCATCATCTAATTAAAGAATAAACTGTTCAATGTACTTACAATAACTTCTTTTTGCACCCAATAAGTTGCTAACAAGAATCCAAATAGATTACTAATTTCAAATTGGATTCTAATAAAATTGAGAAAGCCTTTCCTCTTTCCAGGAGCCCAGAAAACATCTGCTTCCAGTAATATTTGCTAGAATCCATATGCTGAAAATATTAAATGAAACACTCAAGACCTGTCTGAACATTTTAAATATTAAAAGTGTTTCCCAAATGTGAATCATAATCTTTTATTGCTTGGTATTTAAGAATTTAAATTACCCTATTAGAATATATTTTAAATTATTAATACAAATTAATGCGATATGAAATTCTTAAAAATTAATTCTTTTTTTCGGCATTTATCAAACGCTTACAATTTTAATTTATTTGAGAATGGGCGGCGAACTTTATGTTTATAACATTGATTTACGAGGAAGCCGACTCAATGCCGTGTGTGCACTTCAGTGCGAAATCGACATGCATTACAAATTATTCAAGAAAATAAAAGTTCTTCAATATCCAACTACACTACAAAGAGCGCGCATAGAAAAAAAATGTTTTGTTTGGAAACACAAAGTTCACGTGATTGACCCAGGTATTTTATTGTGGGCATTGCTGCATCGCGATTGGCCCACCGAGCGGGGCACGAGCGCCGCCGACAAATCACGAACCGCTTACACGGTCGCGCGTCCCAAGTCGCCTAGTGTGTTTTTGACATCGGTAAACGCAGTCGTGAACTTCGGAGCGCATAGATACTTTTATTTATAGTTTAAATCGAATAAAGTCGCTTTGCGTTTGTGAATACCTGTGCTTATCCGGGATACAATAAATATGAGTATTGCTGCTCTGATCCAAGCTGCTGAATACATCGAAAGGCGCGATAGAGGTGATTTGGATTTTCTTTGTTTGAATTGTCAATCGAGTGCAACTACACGCACACGTCAACATGGCTCCCGTCTATTTTTGCCGTGCTATAATCAGCTGATTTTGACGGAATGGCAGTGTACTTTGTTGCAGAAGCTGAGCACGGATACGCGTCGAGTTTACCGGCGTACGAAGAGTCCCGCTCCGGCGGCAGGCGGCCGAAGACCAAGAAATCGCAGGGCAGCAGGTGAGTTGCGGCCGGTGTAGTGCTAGTGCAGTGATAATATGTGATCTCAGTGGTGTTATGTGTGAAGTGTCGGCGTGTCGTACAATATCGTATGTTTTCTGTTCCAGGACCACTCATAACGAGTTGGAAAAAAACAGGTGAGTGTTTATATTTTTATTGATAAGTGAGTTAGAAGTCGGGTGTGTATGCGGTCGCCGTGTGCCGGTGGCGGGTGCCGGCGCGCGGTGGTTTATCGCGTGGCGCAGTGACCTTGGCAGCCGTCTAGTCGGCAAGGGAAAGAGTGCATGATCGTAATGAGACGGGTGGGGCGGATGACGCTCGTAACCCATTTGGCAGCACTGCCACGGCCGGCAGGGCGCTGGCTGCCGTTACGTCACGTTGCTAGTGATCTTCCTCCGTCGTCATCACGGCTACCTGTAGGTCGCTGCGTCGCTGCATGTTTACGCGCCGTGTTTGGTTAGGCCGAGTGGCTCGACGCGAGCTCGACCACCAGCCAGCACCGCTAAACGAGGACGATTTGCGAAACAAAGCCAGTCTACGTGACATACTATTTCGCCTACATAGTTATTTACTCGCGTTGAATAGGAATTTAGAACCGGTAACTTGTTAGCTAGGCAGTCATTCTCGTTTCATTAAAGTAACAAAACGTAGCCTGTTCCCTAGGCTCATGGTTCTCGGGACCGATTTATCCTAAAGCTTACGAACAATCCACATTTGCAATTATAAACATGGGCCCTTTGATGTTCTGGAGAATAGTGGTGATCAGGCTGTGCCACGCCATACCAAACCCTCCGGACTCCAGAGAATAATAGGAATTTGATTGCGAGAGACCTTTAATAATTTTTGAATTATGAAAGTGGTGAAAGTACAGTCGGCATAATAAAATTGTAAGTTATTCATCGGCCCCTAATAGAGGGGAATGTGCCTATTTGCTCAAGTTAGAGGCCGCTTTCATCATTGAATTTGATATTTCGACGAGAGGCAATAGGGCGCCGGTGATTATTTAATTTATGCTTCGTTACAGATAGTAATGCAATTGAATTATTGATTCGATTCGAAAATAACGATGATGACAAGTTACTGCTAGACTCTTAGACAACAGTAATGAATTAATGAATTAAGCAGGTCTGATAAGGTGAAACGTCCGTAATAGCGATTTTTTTTGCATGTTGATGGAGAGATTTTAATCGCCGACCTGCCAAATGTCTATGGCAACTGATAGACAACTACTAAGGCCCATTCGTCAACGCATTATATTATTTTTTGCTTGTATCTCTGTACAAAAACTGATACGTCGCGTAAGTAGAGAAGCAGCGATTAGTTCCACTAAAATCGTTTTTACGCGTCTCGTTTTTGTCGTAAATTCACATTTCATACGCGAAAACCTTTCTCTAAACCGTTGGTAACATAATAATTCACGTCAAAAACCGTTTCGTATTTTCTGGGCTGTATCAGTTGTGTTATTTACTCTGTTGCCACGGACAAATGCATGTTACCATGTTTATCTTCAGCATATAAATAGCATCAAGTAATTGAAATTATGTGAGGCATATCTCGAGTGTTCGACACTGCAACGCAGTCCATAAAACTATTCTGCACTCTGATATAAAACCTATTTATTGCCTGCAATGTATACAGATAACATAAAAAACCTCGTTCGTATTTAATCGTGTTAACAATTAACTGTTCTGTAATGACTGTTTATTATGCGCTCGTTATAACAATTATTCCATGAGCGTATGCATCTTCTAGTTCGTATTTATCTACAGTTTTTATTAGCTTTCTACTTACCTAGTTATTTAAACCTACATTTTTATTTAATTTGTCTTAAAAAACGTGCATAAAACGTTAAAACACGGGGATGTTTTATTTAAAATGTAGGGTGTGGCACATTTCTGAAATGCAGAGACTCCAGTTTTTTTATTATTGTCACCAAAAACACATCAACCTTTGTTTATAAGACGAAATATTTTTTTACCGGTTTATATCCGCAAAATCAATATAGGAACTAGAAACACTGTAGGTATCACGATGTTTATGAAATTAAAAGCCTTACAATGTTCGTCAAACGAAATTAAATGAAATTTTCGAGGCTGATTCAAAGGAACCTTCTATTTTCATTTCTTACTTATCTAATACCGTTCAAGTTAGGCAGCCGTCAGCTATTATTGTCTCACGTAAAATTATATTTCATTTTGAAACAGTTCAAATGACTTTCATTATTTCATCTGACAAACAGGAATATTAAAGGTTACAGAATGCCAAAATGTCTCTTATATGAAATCCGGTGTTTACTGCTAAATGTGACATATCACGAATACCGAAATGAAACCCGATTTTAAGTCGTATTAAACGTTGTGTCTCTGTCGGTTTCATGAATTATTGTTGAACAAGAAAGTCTTATGGAGTCCTTGGGGCATACAATGAGGCTATTTTTTGAGATAAGAGTTAGATTATATACTATAGTGTCTGAACGCATCCCAGTCTATCGCAGTGTAGTCGGGCTGGTCATAGGCCTCTCCCAGGTTGCGCCACACCCCGTCAAACCAGAAAATCGCCTCATTGTAGATGAAGAAACTAGTCGTGCACTTACTAATGAACTCACGAACAGATTCTCATACTGGTGGAAGGTTAAAAAACGGATTGAAAGGATGGCTAGAATCTAGATGTACTTGTATACTGCATTATGTACAAGCTACATGGTAGGCAGCAAGTACCTACTCACACTGGTATCATGATCACCAGCTTTGTGTTAGAGGTAGGTCCATTGTTCTAATTCTAATAATAGGTTGTTCTAGTGACGTACACGTTGATTTAATACTTGGTTTCTAGGTAGAACTGCTAATGGTATCTTATTAATCTGTGCTGCAATACATAGTATGTGCGTGTATTGTAACGCGCACATTGACTCAACCAAATAGTTAGAAAAAAAATCGCTTGCACATGCATGTGCAACGATAAAACAGCAGAATATCTACAATAACTAATTAAGCAGTGTTGAGCACATAAACATTGTTAATTACGATAACATATTTATTGCATTGTATAAAAATATAATCTGTTTGTTAGAGTAAACTGGAGCGGGCGGCACCAGTCATTAGTTACTTGACAATCAAACACATGGACTTGACAACTTAGACAAAGGCAAATCTGCAATGAAGTCCAGTGGTAACATCCGATGTTAAGAATATTTTAATGCATGTTAACGTTTCACATTGCTTTTTTATTTTAGTGGCCGTAAAACACGTGGTTGCGTCAACACAATGAGACTGGTATGAAGCGGATTAATCGCAAATACTTTTAAGACAGACTACGATAGAATACGCGCGATTTATGTTCAATTAACGTATTCATATAACTTTAGTTCATTGCTATAAGGTTACTAACTTCCATCTTTTATGAAATTAGTTTAACCCCAAACCAGTAGCGAAGGCTCTTAGATTTAATTAGAGAAGTACTGCTATACGCAAATACACTTACTTTAATAACCTATTTCAGTATCCGAAGATTGTGATAATAAAATTGAGTTCGTTATATTAGTACGTGACTAACTCGGTTAATTCAGCAGTTTTAAGTTACTGTATAAAATGTATTAGGTCATGTCTGTGGTGTAGTCAATTTACTACTTTGAGATGCTATTTGATTTGACGTCGCCTTTTATATTTCTGGTCGATAGGACATTTAGGACTCTGACTTTTGGCAAGGACTGTACCAGTTACATTTAAAAAAATAGGATTCTGAACTCGAAACGGAATAGCAGATCTATTATGACATAGAAATTACAAAATTGTTAAACTCAATAATGCGTTATCCGACGAGGTTATCCAAACAGACATACGGCAGCTAGAGAGACCTACGAAGCCGTCAAGTCCTATTTTAATATATTCGGAAAAGGTTTTCCGAGTACGGGAATGTTCTTATAAATCTGTTGGTAAGATGTGAGCATGATTGATGGACAGTAAGTAACATTATGTAAACGCCCATTGTGTGAAAAATATTTTTACCAACAGTGTTCTATGCACGCAGAAACTAACGCCGACGTGTTTTTAGGTTACTTTCTCTTGAAACATCTATCCACTTTGTGTCTCGCCTAGGAAACTGTCTACGCCTGAATGTTTATACTAGTTTTGTGTGGTTTATGCTTGTTACAAGTGCTGTGTCGTAATATTCTAGAAAGGGCCCATTTCCTGGCTTATTATGAAAGTATTCATGTCTCTCTCGTGAGCGCAGTATTTTATTAGACAATTTCAATTATAGTTAATTTGGCTGACGTAAAGCTATAAACTGCCGACTTTAATGATTAGTATTTATTTCATAATAGTTCTGCTGAATGGGATAATGCCTAAAGTTATTTATTGTTAGTGCTTCGTGATTTATGGATAAGTCTGCGTCAGGTCTCTGTTAACATGGCGGTTTCTGCAACGTTTACTTAATGTATTCAAAGTGCATGCGTAAACTAAATATGTATATAGAAGTTTCCAATCTTACATCTCGGTTACCGCTTACTCTTTCAATGCTAATGTGTTCATCAATCCACTCACGCGCAAGCATAAAACGATCATAAAACTCGCGCATTTCAGATTAGATATATTCACACGTTGTACCGCCGAATCGGTTGAATAGCCACACGGGTACGTACTCGTATACATAATACGTCGTGTTTACATAATGTTTTGGTGACGTGGCGCGCACCGTGGAGCGGAGACAGCGGCTCTGCGCCCGCGCAGCCGCTGCCACTGTAATTTTCCAATAAACCGAAGTTAACTATAGTCTATCATGTATTTGTACACAGAAATTGCAAATCGTTTGTTGCCAACCGACGTATGTCGTGTATTTGTTTTATTTGTCATCGTATCAATATATTTGTACCGAGACGTTGTAACAACGTGCTCCTAATTTGGTCACGTTCCCGCGAAGACACCTTGCTGGGTGACTTTAGAAAAACAAACAAACTGCCTTATTTGTACACAATGTTTTGATTTATTGTGTAAACGGTTTTGAGCTAGCATTAACCGAAGCATGTAGTTATTGTATAGCTAAAACTATTTTTGCGTAAACATCGTTAATGAATGCAAATTCAAACTGGCTTTATCTATAAATAGAAGATAATCGGATTATATATATATAAAAAAATATT